ATGATTGTATTATTCCTGGAAAGGAGAAATAACACAGTTTCTTCTTTTTAAAAATATATATTTATGATTTATTTAACTTTATTTTATGTGCATTGGTGTGAAGGTGTCAGATCCCCTGGAACTGGATTTACAGACAACTGTGATCTGCTATGTGGGTGCTGGGAATTGAACCTAGGTTTTCTGGAAGAGCAGCCAGTGCTCTTAACTGCTGAGCCATCTCTCCAGCCCCAACACAGCTTCTTCTAGGAAGCTTCTTCTACAATGAAGGGACAGGAAATGAAGGGAGTTCATTTAACAGTGTTTAATTTTTCAAAGGAGTTTATGCCTGTGTTCCATTTCTGCTCTAGGATTCTCTGAGGGAAACTTTTCTGCTAGAGACCATGGCATCATAGCGGAGAGGAGAGGATATTCTCTACTAGTATTAGATCCGAAGGGAAGAAGGGTCCTTCAGGTGTGGTGGGTCTTCTAGAAGGTAGACAGTTCATGCTCATACATAACCTGTTCCTTTTCTCCTGTCTGGCTAGGCTGTGACAACATGTTGATGAGTATAAAGTCTCTGAAAATAGTGAAGAAGATTACGGACCCGGATGGCTCTTGGATGAAAGATGCTGGTGGTAACTCTGCAAAAGTGTATTTATTAATCGGATCCAGAAACAAAACAGTTTGGGAATTTGCAAACTTGCGGGCATTCATGGAAGACAGCACCAAGTCTGGCCCCCGGAAGCTAATCTTACCACTTTCCTGGCAGGGAACAGGACAAGTGGTCTACAAAGGTTTTCTATTTTTTCATAATCAAGGAACTTCTAATGAGATAATTAAATATAATCTGCAGAAGAAGACTGTGGAGGATAGAATGCTTCTCCCAGGAGGGGCAGGCCGAGCACCCATCTATCAACACTCCCTATCGACCTACATTGACCTTGCTGTGGATGAACATGGTCTCTGGGCCATCCACTCAGGACCAGGTATCCAAGGCCATTTGGTTCTAACAAAAATTGAGCCGGACACTTTGGGAATAGAGCACTCGTGGGACACACCTTGCAGAAACCAGGATGCAGAAGCTTCGTTCCTCATATGTGGAGTCCTGTACGTGGTCTATAGTTCCGGGGGCCAGGGCCCTCACCATATCACCTGTGTCTATGACCCACTGGGCACTGTTAGGGAGGAGCATCTGCCTAATTTGTTCTTCCCCAGGAGGCCAAAAAGTCACTCCATGATCCATTACAACCCCAGAGATAAGCAGCTGTATGCCTGGAATGAAGGCAATCAGATCATCTACAAATTCCAGACAAAGAAAAGACTGCCTCTGAAGTAATGGATGGCAGTTTGGAGGGAGAGTTGTGCGGTTGGGGCAATGGTTTTTCTAGGATACTGAGATCACAACTCCTTTACAATGTAGTATCCCTCTAGAAGTACACAGGAACAGGATCTAGAAGTTTAAATACATATTATTCCTTTACCAAATGTCACTGCCTTGGGAATCTTTTGAGAGCATCGATGAGGCCATCATTTCGAAGTTTTGACTAATACTCCATCCTCACCCAAATCTGATGGAGCTAAGGCCTCCTTCATCAGATCTATCTTAGCCCCAATCTTTCCTAATTGCCTTTCAGCATTTTCTCTCACTCTATTCCTCTTCCAACAATTAGGATCTTGCCACCCTGATGCTCACTGGTTTTTTTCTTTGGTTTTCACTCAGGTTCTGTTTTCTTTCTCATATGCTTATAAATATTTTTTAATTGCCCATCAGTTACTTTTGTTGTTGCTATGGCCAAATACCTGGCAAGAAACAAATTAAGAAAGAAAAGGTTTGTGCTGGCTTTTAACCAGGCACAGGGGTGCCCGCCTTCAGTCCTAGCAAACAGGAAGCAGAGGAAGGTGGATCTCTGTGAGTTCGAGGTCAACCTGCTCTACAATGTAAGTTCCAAGCCAATCAAAGCTGAAGAGTGAAACCTTATCAATGGATATAGTCCATCATGGTAGTAGGGAAAGTGAGGGGCATGAGACAACTGTTCGTATTATACCTGCAATCAGGAAGCAAGGAGCAGACCAGATGTGGGGCTGCACTAAGAAACCTCATGACTGGCCCAGGCCTCACTTCAAGGCCTGCGCCCAGCTAGGAACCAAACGATCAAACACAGGAGCCTGTTCAGCTCATTTCACATTGAGGTCATAACACCCAGGAAGCATGATTTCTTATTAATGTTTAATGTTTATTTCCTCTAGCCTTGCCCTTCTGCCAAGCCAAGTGGATACAGTAACAAAGTAAAACCATTAGTAGATGGATGTTACTTTCTAGCTACAAAGCTTTTTAACATCTTTTAGTTCTCTTTTTACCTTTGTAAGTATGTACAAATCTTTATAGTTGCTAAGCCAGACATGAGAGTGCAGGTGAGTTATTCAAAGTGGCAAACTAAAATATGTAAGAGCTGGAAAAGGTTGCAAATATCAGCCTTTCTGTCATCCAAGGAAGGAAGGACCAATTATATACTTTTGCCCACCTATTCTTAACCATTATGTCCATCAGTTCAGCCTAAAAATAATAGTTTTCCCCTTAGGCAGTTGTCATGTCTGCACAAGGTCTTCTCATAGGTCTTTCAAAGCCTACTTTCTCCAGAAAACCAGCCTAAGGGTAAGGAGGAAACTCTAGCCTCATCTAGTCTTTCTGTTGCCTGCTTCTTTCTTCTTTCTTTAAAGACAATAAAAGTGAGGTTAAGCAAATAACCTCATCAGGTTATGTTTGCCTATATTCCCTCAGCACAAAAACTTTCCAGTATTATCTGTGTTGGGCTTACTGTAAACTGTTCCCTAACTCATGGAGGCCCTTGGTAAATATACTTGTCTGGATGGAAACCAGGTAGCAGGCAAACAGCTTTGTCACAGTTGTTTGCCGGGCATTACAGAGGGTAGTTGAGAGGGGCATCTGCAAAGTATTCCCCACATGTGTGTCCCATTTGACTGAGTCTAAGTCACAAGTGAGGCTGCAGTGCCAGCCCGTGTCATGTGCTAAGGTCTCTGCCTCCTCAGGTTGGTCACATGAGAAAGCTTGCTTTGTGCGCTTGCAGCTGTTTGTCGGCCTTTGCCAAGTCCAGGCTGGGATCACAGGCAGTGAAGGGAGACCCTCCCCCTCCCCACCGCCACCACCACATACCATTTAAGTAGATCTTTGGCAGAAAGGAATGACCCACAGTTCTGATGAGATGGCCCTGTGAGCCTAAACCTTATGCACAATAAAGCAGATGTGAAAGAATAAACATGATGTAATCACTCCATGAATGAATTCAGGATCAATACTTGCTCTATGGGCAAAGTCACATTACCTACCTTACAAAGAAAGTGACCTACTCACATTGAAAGATACGCAGCGGCGTTATCAAAGGAGTGAGTCCTGTATACATGGTTCCTTTGAGGTCAAGAGAATAGTTTACATGTAGCGTGCTGTCTGGCTTCTATCTGGGAAGAGCTTGGAATCGACAGCTCTGCAGGATATACCTATCCCAAACTGCTCACCCTGGCACACAGAATCCCCACAGGGAGGATATTTCTTTTAGGTGAAGAAATGTTCTCCAGGAAGGACCTAGTCATTGCTATTTTCCCTAACAGCATGCAGGCTCTGGAACCCCTGTTTCAGTATCTTTTCATGTGTGTTTTTCAGCTCTAGGCTGACTGGATTGAAATGAGGATTGTTGATGTCTCCATGAGCCACATCACTGGTTAGTACCTTGTGGCACATGCGAATCAGCTGGGGAGCTTTAACAATCTTACTATTCAGCCTAGACTTGCCAATGCCATTAAAACAGACCCTCTGGAGCTGGGAGGAAAGCATCTGTCTTTTAAAAGCTCCTTCCCCAACTGCATCTAAGTTTGGGAAAGCCAATTTCATGCAACATTTTGCACAATAATTGCATACTTCTGAGAAAATATGAGCAGTTTCTGGGGGCCTGGGCAAGAAACTGGGCCTCCTTAGGCTGCACGTGAGATTTGGAACTGCCCACTAAGGCACGTGAACTCATGTGAACTGCGCAGGCAGGCTCTGTCTCCAAAGGCCTCTCAGCTATTTTAAGGAAGTGAAAGAACCAAAGGGTATCCTGCTGTGACACACGTCTCAGGGGCCCCAGCTTTTCGATGCTGGCTTTGCCTTTGCTCTGCTGCTGGCCAGGTCCCTGCACTGCTCATACACCTGTTTGCCAGAGTGCTTAGGTTTTGTTCACACGTGCAATCCTCTGGTCACACGAGTAATTTTAGACGACCAGGGTTAGGGAAAAAAAAGTCATGTCCTGTAGAATCTGTCAACACGCGGGTGTAAGCAAATGGATTCAGCTTAGGAGCAAGTCCTGCCAGAGTTCGGGTGTCCTTGCCCTCTGAGGACCTAGAGATTTTAAGCAGCTAAACTGAGCAGCCGGTCCCTGGAGGCCCCAGCAGGGCAAGCACCTGTGATACAATCACAGGCCTGCACATCAGAGGTAGGTGTTGGGACTCCGTCTCCAGGGCACAATCCTTTGGGATTTGAAAAATCCAGCCACTATGGGCAGACACCACCACAGTTTTCTTTGGCTCTCTGGTACCTGACCTTGCTGGACACAGGAAGTGTTATTCACGAGACAGGACACCAAAGCTTTCCGTAGGTTGTCAGCCACTAGAGGTCATGAGAGGTTGCGTGTCTATGTGTGTGTGTGTGTATGCGTGCGTGCGTGCGTGCGTGCATGGGATCAATGCTGACAGACTGCAGAAGCTCAGGAGACCTGTAAACTTGAGTATGGTGGGTACTAGGGAAGTGCCTAGGGGAGAGTCCGAGGTGCAACCAGTGGGTTGGACCCAGGAGAGGCGTGGTCTCATGGGAGGGGTGGAGCTTGAGACTCGCACGCGGAGCGCTGCCGGGGGGCGGGGCTGACGAGCAAGTGGAACTGGAACTGTGGCTCTTGGGTCCCGGCGGGCCACAGCGGGAGTGGGAGGCGGGGTGACAGAGGGGCGGTCCTAGGGGAAGACTCCAACAGCCAGAGAGCCTCACTCCCGGACGAGCCGTCACGTGGGCGCCGGACCGGGTCGGTGCTGGCAGGTCGGCTGGTTGGTTGGCAGTTGATCCTTGGGCCAGTGGCCTGTCGCTGAGTTCTCTGCTCTTATGTTGGAAGGTGAGAGGGACACGGGAGCGAACGCACACCTGAGCCTCCGGGAGAGAAGCAGCGCTCAGGCATCCAGGTCAGTGGACTCTCCTGGCCCCGGCTCACCGCTATCCCGGGAACTGAGCGCGCCCAGATCCAAGAGACACATGGGTAGTTTGGAGGTTCGTGGGCCTTTAACCTCCGAACGTTTTCAAGACCTGGGGACCCACTTATTTGGCTGGGAGATTGAGAGAAGGGTGTAACTCCGGTGGATTTGCTTGCGTTCCCCACCCCACCCTGCTCCGAATGTGCCACCAGCCCCGCGCTCCTACAGGTGCTGGAGTGGTCCGGGATACTGGGGTGCTCCGATATCTCATAGTTCCGGGCAATTATATCCCAGCTTGGTGCCCCATGAGAGCAGCAGTGGCGTCAGCTGGAGAGCCCAAGGTGGTGAGGAAGTTGAGGGCGGCTCACTCAGGTTACTCTCCCTGCTCTATAGAGCTTTGGCCCTCAGCGCCTTGGCCAGGAGCAGTTCTGTACACCAATTACTAAGTGCAACAGGCGTCCCAAAGGCTCAAGGCATGGGGTCGCTCTAGAACCGGGTTGGGATGTCAGGGATACTTCTATTTTAAAAACTGGCTTCTTCCCCCAACTTCTATCCTGACCCATAGTTTTCCCTCCGATGAAAATAGGGTTTTGTGTTTAAAAACAAGCACTTCCAAGGTTCGGGTCAGTCATTCAACTCTTCCTTTTAGGCCATTGAGATAATTTATATGGATCAGTCTTCCTCTTCCATATTTTGGTCTTAATCCTATCGGTCTTCATCTCTTTCGGTCCTGAACTGATTATACAACAGATCATTGTGTTTATAAGATTACCTTGTATTTTGTGAAACTAAATACTCAGCTACAGGAAGAAAGTCAACCACAGATCTAATTAACCTGCAGTCTTAGATTACTGTTGGTATATCAAAAATGTTACCTGATTAGAAATTATTTCTTCACCTTGGAAGAACCAGCCCGTTCATATTCTATTTACATTCATATTTAAATGACTTTAAAGTGGAATATTGTTAAGTCTTTTGCTATTATTTTCATTTGGGATTTTATTTAATGCTAGTGGTGATGGAGACTGGTGAACTAATTTAGGACCAGGTGAATGCCAGATCAGCAAGAGCTCTCCACCACTGAGCAACAACTCCAGCCTTCACATAGTATATTAGTGGTATTACCTTGAGATCTGGTTATGTGCCAATTTTAGTTTATTGCTTCTAGTTGAGACAGGCTCAATGCTACCATGGGTTGTTGTAACTAAGGTACATAAGGTAGATATACTATGTTTTTGTTGTTGTTTTTGGTTTTTTTGAGACAGGGTTTCTCTGGGTAGCTTTGGAGCCTGTCCTGGAACTAGCTCTTGCAAACCAGACTGGCCTCAAACCTGAGACAGGGCTTCTCTGTGTAGCTTTGCAGCCTGTCCTGGAACTAGTTCTTGTAGACCAGGCTGGCCTTGAACTCACAGAGATCTGCCTGCCTGAGTGCTGGGATTAAAGGTGTGCGCCACCCTTGCCCAGTTTAGATGATTTTAAGAGTAAGTTGATAATGTAAGTGATACGCGTCACAGTAGCAGGAGAAGGTGGGAACAAACTTGCAGAAATTACAGTTTTTCTTTTTTTCATCAGAATAAGGAAAATCTGGGATAGTTTTAAGAAGGCTCAATCTACGTGAGGTATGACACAGGGAGACCTTAGGGGTGGCTCCAAAAAGTGGCTACTGGTTCCTGGCCTAAGTGGTCGACAAAACAAAACAACACACAAAATGAATCGTCCCAGCTGGTACCTGAGGCAGGTGCGAGGCCTTGGGCATCAATGCTTGGGTAAGCAGACACTGACTTGTGGTCAGCTGAGCTTATCAAAGTTAGGAACCTTGAACCTTGACCTTCCCAACTCCCAGACTGACAGCAATCCAGTAAACATTTGTGGAGTGGTCAGATGGTACTGTGGATCAGCACTCTTCAAACACAAGCCTGACAGTCACCTGATGCCCTTCAAATGTGGTCAGGGGTGGATCCTGACATTCGGCAATTCAGCAATTCGAACCTGAAACTCTCCTGTCTGTAGCAAGAATTTAAAGTAGTGATCTACAAACCTGTGCACCTCTGAAGGCCTTGGACTTGCCTGGGGGAGCTTTTCCAACTATTCAGGTAAAGTAGGTCCTAGGCAGGTAACAGGTGGGATAGGCTACTGAACTTGGCTGTGCTTGGAGGACCACAGTTGGGAGACAAGTTAGGAGACCAGCAGGCCAGTTGAGGTGAATGTGAGGAGAGTGAAGCGTGAGCAGACAAAGGAGAGATCCTAGGAATACTGAGTCTTTAAGACCAGGGCCAAGGAGTGGGAGGTGTCAGCCCCATATGTCCCAATCATACTGATTTGGCAGAATAAGACTCTAGGAAAAGGAACCATTTTTGGAGAATTCTACTTAAATTTTGGATGCAAAGTGTGCTGCTTAGACGGTAATGGTCGGCAGCTAATTGGTATTTGTCCATAAGGTCTTTTTTCCCTCCTGAAATGCAGACCTGTTCACGATTCATTCCTGTTTCAAATCCCCTCATCGAGCTCTGACTGAAAATACGAGAAGGAAGAGTGACCGCAAGTACCAGTGACACTTTTAAACGTTTAAGCTCCAGATTTTATGCCTCCATGGGAGATATGATGGTTACCCCTTATGTTCACAAAACTAAAACTAAAACTCTGGGTTTGGGTTTTCCTGAGTCACTGTTTTTCTTGCTTCCTCCTTCCTCGGAGGAGTTCCACTTCCTTTGCCCTTTGCTATCCTAGTATCTTGTTTTGTTTGTGCTTGAAGGCACCTGTGTGTGTTTATTTTCGGCATCTAGAGGAGGTGAGCTCTGTCCCTTTATAAAATCTTAAAGGGCAGTCTGATGAGCAGTCTGTTAGTGGCTCACTTCAGGGACTGTTATTATCTCCGATGCTTGTGATAAAAAGCCTTAGAGGAAATGGGTACCCTAAAGCAACCTGCTGAGCTGTCTGCTGAGATCTCCAGAAGGCCTCAGACTTCAGAGGCATTCAGACTCTGCAGCAAATTGAAAATTTCTCTGGACCTTAACGTCATTGGTTTGGTGCTCTTTGGTAATTCTTGCTTTCATTTCCTCTCTGTGTTCCTGTGCACATTTATGCACACGAGAGCTAAGCATTCATTGCGTACGATGCCTTTTATTAACCTCCAAGGTTATATAGTAACCTTGTACTTACCTGTTCATGTCTGTAACACATCTGTAGATACAGGTAGGATAAGACTGCCTTTCTGATAAGATAAACTATGATATTCTTGTGAACTTTTAGGCTAATTCTTTTTCCAAATCTCTCTACACTGTTGCCCCAAACTGAGGAGCTAGACTGTCCCTCTCCTTTTTGGCTCTCTGTTTGAGGAGACTATGCTTCTTAGATTATAATCTTTGGACAATGCTTTTTGCATGGCTATGAGTCTGAAATACAAATCTGATCATGATCCTTTTCTTCTTAAAATCCCCTGGTAGATCCCTTATTGGAAGATTTGAGAAGAGTAAATCCAAACAGAACAGATGGAATGTCCAAACACTGACTAAGTCCTGTAGATTGTATAGCCCTACGCAAGATGTGACAGGTGCCTCTTCCTGGAGGTACCTGTTGTCTCTGCTCTGTAACGTGGTGAGAACCCTAGAAACCCCCTCACTCTCAAGTCCTTTCACTCTTTCTACTATTATCATATATGAATTACAATAGAAATTCCTCTCTGCAATGTCCCTTCCATCTCTCTGTCCATACTCTGAACATAGCTACACCAACTTTTGTGTGAGACCCAATACTTAACAGTTATCAGCAACTGTTATTAGCAAGTGTTTCCCCTGTATCTGGGTCCCATTGGCTGGCAGGTTTTGCTTCTGTAAAGAAGGAAGGGAGCAGGTAGTTTTGTGAGAGAGAAGGGAAGAAATGGGAACAAGTTCAAAGAGAGGAGGGGCAGGCTCAAGGAAGAATGGCTCAGTGGCTAGAATCATGGGTGTGGTAGGGTGTTGTATGACTCTCCTGGGGAGACATGAGCAGTTGCCTATTCCACCCAGCTAAGACGCTGATGACACCCTAAAGAAATGATTCCACCCAAGCCCAGCTTGGTGAACCAATGGGTTATATGAGGGGTTTCTGATAGGAGTGTGGGTGACTTAGGGCAGCTACATCCCTTTGTGTGGGTGAGCATGCAGGAAGACTACACCCCTAGAACTCCTTGCTCAACTTGTAGACAGCACAACTAGATAGTCTCTTCTTCAGCAATTATTTAATGGTTTTGTACCTAGGGGCGGGACTTATGTGTCCTGTAACTTTCGAGACTCCCAAGTACCCCTTAGGTAAGTTTCACCAGCTTTCTGCTCCCTCCAGGAGGAAGTGTTTCCATTCATTGGAAATGGCTCTATATCCTGAGAACATTTGGAGAGGATAGGCTGGAGCTCAGGAAGGGAAAAGATGGTGGAAAGTCCTGAAGGTTGGAGCTAAAGAGTTAAATTTGGCCTTTATGATCACACATACACACACACACACACACACACACACACACACACACACACAGAGCTCTCAGGTACTTGGCAGCATGGTAAAACTCATCTAAAACAAAATTTCTCTTGTACTGATGACATGGAAAGCTATGAGTAGTTTGGAGTGTGTCTTCAGGATTCTGGGCTGTGAAAAGTAGACTTGTGGGACTGTTTAAAAGGACATGTCATTGGAGTAACCATAGAATATATTGGGTCCTGAATCAAGGCAATGACCATAGCAATGGAGAAGTGAAGTTTCCAAGAAATGACTGTTTTTGAGGGAGAGAAAAGTGTCATACTGGATACTGACTGGCAGAGGATGAGGTGGTTGTGAAAAGGTGTGGAACCATGGAAGACTTTCTAATTTGGAAGAGGGAAGGAAAGGAGGGTGGTGATGCATTTTAAAATCAGAAGAGCCTTGGGTAGCTTCTTGCCTACCCTTTATTATTTTACTCAAGAGGATGGTAAAGCCCAAAGCAGTCTACTGAAAGTCGCCCATTCTTAGTTGCAGACGCAGCTTTC